CATCGGCTGTGGAGATGAAGACCACAACTCCCATGATTCCACACTCAGTCACGGCGTCATCAAACTACGCCTTTGTCTATTTGTTTATTTTGAATACACGCCCTCTAACGGCGAAAATTACATATTGTGCCTTTAATACTATGTGGTTTAAAGTCCGGTATTGTTGTTTGTGGTAGGCATGACGAGCTGTTGGCGAAGGGAGGCCTGTACTCTGACATGTGGCTAAAACAGCAGCAGGCGCAGGATTCAGACTCGGCCTCTGACACTGAGACCAAAGACAGGAAATCTGAGAAACTACAGCCACAAACATCCACTGCAGGACATAAGGGACATTAGGCACACGAGACATGCAATCAGATCTGGTTTTGTGTGCATTTTAAGCTCGTCCAATGCTGTTTTGACATATTAGAACGATAATCATTTAGTATCATATTTTGTTTTCGCCAGTTCTTAAAAGTGATCCATGTTGCCTAAGGATTTATTTATTTATGAGATATTTAAGTCCTTTTTTATATCGCTTTTGCAATTACTTTTCACTCATTGCATTTATAATGCTTATTAATATGAGAGAAGACTGACCGAGTATTAAATAATGCTCTGACAATTATGGCTCCTTCCACTACTATAACTTAATTATGTTGAATGTACAGTGGGGGATATTTTATTTTAATCAGTCAGTGGATTTCTCTGGTTGCATTGATTTTCTTTGTAATAGCGAACATTCGGCAACTGATTGTAATTGTATATATGATCTACATCAGAACAAATTGTAATTTTATTTGAAAATGAATAATTATATTTCTGGTGCCATTGTATAGCAGTAAATACCAATATATGACTTTCTATACATACTAAGATTAAGTTTAAATTTAGGACTAGGTTATCGGCAGGGGTATCATTTCCTCAATCAATTTTCATGTTAATTTCTAATATGTGCACACTTTTTTACGTTATGATCATTTGTGTGCTTAAAGATCATTTTGTTATGCTGTGTGTGTGGAGTGAGATTTATTGCTTAGATGCAATACTGCACAACTTCAGTTCAATTTAAGGGACATTGGAGCTTGCTCGCTTTGTAGGACTGACACTAAACTCAGGGGACAAGGTTGAAATGAGCCATTGGGGTGTGTTTTTGCTGTACTATGTAGATTTCCACACGAAGCTTTGTAGTAGTTTTTTAATGATTATTCAAAGAAGGGGTGGAGAAATAGCCACTGACAGAATTTGACAGTCGTAACAGGGTGGATAACGTCTGTGAAGATTTTTTGAATGTATTTTATTGTGCAATAAAGGCAACTGAGGGAATATGTTCTTTGTGATTATTGATCACATTGTTCTATGCGTAAAATATTGTATGTAAATTAAAATGCCATACGTATTTCCTTTATATTTTGTTTAGAAATGAAAATACATGAAATAATAAAAAACAATATTTTGGTTATTACTATTGTTTGTATTGTATTATATTGTATTGTTCCTTGGAACGTTCAGTAACTTGCACTAAAAGAGACTTTCCTTTTTCTTGTGTTTTTTACACTATGGGGCGCTTTACGGCCAAAAACAAGAAAACTTAGTCTTATTCAAATCTGTGCTTTTGTGTGTTATTGGAGATATTTTTACACACCTGTCATGTAATCGTTTAAATCTGCTGCTCTATTACTGCGAAGTACTTGGCATATAAATAAAAATCTTGCTTGCGCAGTTTCAAATAAATTAATTTGAGTAATCATAAACTACTGAGATTTGTCCATCAAAAATAGCGATGAGAAAAGTAACATGTACAACGTTGTACCGTTGGTCCGTGATATTGGGAAACTTTAATAGCCTTGGGATAGAAATACACAGCGATTAGGTAAGACGTAAAACTATATAGTTATTTAACAAATAAAAAAAACATTTAAATTACACCCAAAAAATGTTTGACCCAAGGTCGGTCCAGTAGTCCCGCCCTACGCAACTGAGCGCATTGTCTTGCGTAACTCTGATTGTGAATAAGTCTCGACGCAGCTGTCACGGCAGAGAGAGGGCGCCTCCACGACGCCTTCCTGCGGCCTTTCTGTGTTTTCAGTCCTTCTAAATTAATGCTGGAGACCCAAAATGGATTTTGGCGATTTGTTTGACGAGCGAACGTTCACCTTTTCTGACTTCCAGGAGTTTACGGTCAGTATCTCCGGTGTTTTTGTTCTAGTTGCGCTGTTTTGGCGGGTGACTGAGAAACTCGCGCGAAACTGACTTATGTAAAAACTTTAAATACGTTTTAATGTCTTCTTTCATTTAAAGCCCAGAATATTAGACCGAAAGAAACGAATTATTCTTAAATACAGCAAATATCTTCTGTATTTCAGTTTGTAAGACAGTAACTATTTGTTGTGAGTATTAATCTACGTTAGTTCGAGGCTCACTCAGAGGCCCAATGTTTGGGTGTGATAGGAAAAACACATACCATAGTAATGTTGCTGCTTTAATGATATTACGTAGTCTTAATAGATCTCCTTTAAAATTATTGTTAAGATATTTGACATGTAAACCATGTTTTTTGTATTGTGTAATCATGATCAGTTTCTGCCTGGACACGAGCAGTGGTCAGAGAAAGTGAGGAAACGACTGTACTATGGTCTTGATTCTGACAGCCCCTTGGATGCTCTATCATGTCCCATGACAGGTGAGTCAACAAGTAAAACTAGTGCAAACGTAATGCATTAATTTATCTTCACTAAACTACTTGTTTTGTCTCCCGTTTTTACTATATATATATATATATATATATATACCATAAGGGTCAATTTTTTAAAATTGAGATTTATACATCATCTGAAAGCTTTCCATTGAACTATGGTTTGTTAGGATATGACAATATTTGGCCGAGATATTTGGACAACTATTTGAAAATCTGTAATCTGAGGGTGAAAATTGCCTTTAAAGTTGTCCAAATGAAGTTCTTAGCAATGCATATTACTAATCAAAAATTAAGTTTTGATAAATTTATGGTAGGACATTTACAAAATATCTTCATGGAACATGATCTTAATATCCTAATGATTTTTGGCATAAAAGAAAAATCGATCATTTTGACCCATACAATGTATTGTTGGCTATTGCTACAAATATACCCATGCTACTTAACACTGCTTTTGTGCTCCAGGGTCACAAAT